CTCTCTCTCTCTCTCTCTCTCTCTCTCTCTCTCTCTCTCTCTCTTCCGTAAAGTGCCTATCCGAACGGGCAGTACTGTTCTCGATGTGGTCTGTATTGCTCACACCCCTCTGCTGACAGGAACTTTTGCCTGCTGTTCTCCCTCGGCGTCTATTCCTCTTAGCTTTTCTCCTTCTTCTCTCGACTTGTTTTTTGATGACCTGCAGGTGTTGACTCGGATGCTGTCCGTGCAGGTGGGTTCCGCGAGGCGGCTCTTGTTTGAACCCAGAAAGGGGAGGTGGAACCAAATTTAGGGAGTCTTCGAAGATTCGCAGAGTTTTGCTTTGTTCCTCTCTCTCTCCCTCTCTCAGGGCCACCAGTTCATCTTCTTGAAGCCCTCGATGACCTTCCGTATCTCATCGGCCGTGATTTTTTCATGCACCGGTCTAACAATCACCACACGTCAGCATCAGATTCCGAATGGGACCTCCTCGGCCCAAATCTTCTCCACCCCCAAATTGAACAAAGAAGAGATAGGAAAACGAAAACTCACCGCCATCCCGTCACGCTCTCGAACAACCCTCCATCCAAACTCAAATCTGCGTCCCTCAAAATCTCCTTCTCCATGAACGGGCTCAGCAGTCCCGCACCTTTGCTCTTGATCCCCGCGGCCTCCTGGAGATCCGCCCAGTCATCCAGGGTGTCATCGTTGACATCATCGACGACGTGTTCGAGGTTCAGCCGCGCGAAGGTGTTGATCAGAGTGTTCTGGAAGCCGGTCTCGATGCCAAAGACCTCGGAGATGAGGGTCGCCATGGTGCCCTGGGTGGTCTGGCCGTGGTCGACGACGTTGAAGATGATGCGAGATGGCGGGGACTTTTCGGAGGTTTCTGGCAGGTGGTCGTGGGTGGCGCGCCATTCGGCGGCGGCCCAGGCGGCGCGCGCGGCGTCCTCGACGTGGAGCGTGTTGACGCGGAGGTCGGCGCTCCAGAGCCATTTCATCGTCTCGCGAGGTTCGCGGCTTTGGTAGACCCGCGCGAGGGCGAGTTGTGTTGCGAGCCAGGCGCCGCCGTAAGCTCCATAAAGGTTCGGGAAGCGCATCACAACGAGGCGCAGACCGGGTGCCTTTTCCAACTCTTCCTCCGCGGCTAGTTTCCACTTTGCCAAACGCGTGTGAGGCTTTGTTGTCTTGCCCGACTCGTTGACAGGTGTACGATTCGGGTTGTAGACGGTGCCGGTGCTGACTTCGACGAAGGCGCGGACACCACGGCGGGCGGCTTCATTGCCGAGGATCTGGCTCAAGGTGAGGATGCGGAGTTTGTAGACTTCATCTTCCTGCGAGAAGCGAGATTCGCCGCCGCAGTTGAAGACATAATCGAACTCGCGGGACTTGCCATCGGCGCCGGGTGGGAGGTCGAAGATGCGTGACAAGGCTTGCTCGCGTGAGGCGTCGGCCTGCATGAAATTCTCTTCGCTGTAAGCATCTTTGTGTTCGGGAGCGAGGGAAGCTAGTTGAGGTAATTGTTTGTCGACGAGTCGGACTGTGGAGGCGAGGTTGTTGGCATGGATGTGGTTGGTGAGATACCGTCCGATGAAACCTGTGGAGAACGCAAGATGGTGAGTTTCGTCGACATCAATGATTGTGCGTGTTCAGTGAGGAGAGCTTCAGATACGAAAGACGTGTGCGATTTGAGTAAAGTCTTTCGATGCAGCATTGCAGATCCGAGTCAAGCTCTCGCATCACGAATGTGGGTGCAATCACAGTGCCCGGAGAGGCCAGAGCGAAGGACATGCGCTTGAAGAAGCAGGATGCCGCATTCGTTGACGCAACGGGCCAATGGGCAGGCAATTGGAGAAAGGACAACAGACAGAGATCGACATACCGAGTGCGCCAATGACCAATACGGTCGGCTTTGCTGAGCCATTGGCAGTCGTCGTCGTCGTCGATGAAGTCGCGGTATTATCAGCGGGGGTCGACATTGCGGGGTTGTCGTCACCCACACACGACTGGTGGGGAAGCGAAGGATTGATTTCCTTGTGTGTGCGTGAGTGTGTGCGTGTGCGTGCGGGTGGAAAGTCGAGACGAGACGAGACGAACGAAAAGTGTCGAGGTGAAGAAAGAATTAAATCCTCTCTTTCGCAGTCGGTGATGGAGAGATCATAGACGATGGGAACGACGTAGCATGAGCTGTCGTGTCGAAGTGATCGGGGAAACGGTAGCAGGGGATTATGTATTACAGTACAGTAATAATATGAAAGGTGAAGGTGGTGTGCGTTTGGCGTATCTCGGTAGCGGTAGTGTTCGTCGTTGGTGATGCAGGCGGTCGGTTTGGTGGAGTTTACTGCAATAACACACCTACTACCTACAGTAGTTCCCTTGGAATGGTTTGATTTGGTTGGAGTTTTGATTAGAATTGGGCGTCGGTAGCCGCAGGTGTCTTGTCTTCCAAGGTTGTCTCCACTGCACTGGACATGTACCGCAGGCAGGCAGGTGATTTGTTATGTCCTGCTCTGATTTTCTTCGTACGTGACGATTCCACCTACGCCCTCGTCGTTCCTTTTAAGATTCTCGGTCGTGATGTCCTCAGCTAGAGTAAGGATCGAAGCGGAAGGAAAGACGGTCAAGGCGACAGAGGACACTTTTATATATACCTTGTTGATAAATAACAATACAATGTACAGGAAAGTGGGATAAGTGCCCATGGGTTCTTTGTACAGTCCAGTAATAATAATAACAACCTCATCCCACGAGAAATATATGACCCTCCACACCCGCGTGCAACATGTGCGACAAAGGATACAATCTCCATCATTCTCATTGCTATCGTTGTCCGCTCCTTAAACAGTGACAAGCCGTCCCTTCCGCTCTAATGATCTTGGCGGAAGCGAACTAACCATCCCGACTGGTATGCATATATATATGTATGTTAAACACCGAGACAAGAACAACAATAACCACAATGAAGAGGCGAAAGGTGGGCCCTTCTGTGTCACTTGGGATGGAAGGCTGCTGTGTCCAGTTCATCAGTGCAGTCCTGTCCGTTATTAGGTATACAGGACAGTACAGGACCAATTCGGGGGCGGTAATTTCGGCTTCATGCAAGCCGGATGCACTACTATGCGATAGTCGACACACGAACTACGATTCTATCTCTGTTTGAGGACATCGACCTCTGCCGAGAAGGGAACCCCTCTTCGACTTGACGATGGGTATCTGAAATGTAGATGTCATGTCTACTGGACTGGACTGTACTGTACTGGTCACTCTATCGATCTAGCCGGGGTTCATGATTCGCGATAACGACGGGGTGGACCCACCGCCTGTCTTTTTGGGAGAATGCCGCCGCCGCCGCTGCTGCTGTGGTATTCCTTTGTCATTTGACAGCTGTATGTTCCGTCATGCTGTAGCAGTCTAGCACAAGGAAAACACCTCTCCCATCAAAACAGGAACCCACCTCCAAAAGTTGCCCAAGTATACAGTAGGCAAGTGGAGTGGGACCACATGACACTTCCCGTCTGCACGCCTCCCACGATGTCCTGCCTCTGTGAGAAAACGAATGCGCCGTCGCCGTTCGCGCATCTCGGATCTTGCAGTAGCAGGCAGTAGCAGCGGCCGGCAGCAGCGTGCAAGAACGAAAGAAAGGAAGTGGCGGAATCCACAGCTTCGATGCGATCCGACCAGCCCCCGACGCATAGAGCTACCGTCGTCAGAGTTGCAGTAGTTTGCCTGTCATCATTTTAGATTGGCACAGCGTTTGAACACCCGCGGGTGTGTTTCCTCGACGACGACATCGGCAGTGCGGTGATTTTCTTTGAACGCATGAGATGTATTTCGTTCAGAGGTGAGGAGGTGGGGATTTGCGTGGGACGAGGTGCATTGGACTTGGGGCTGCGTTTTCGGGGGTCTTAGGGTTACGTTTCGTGATGGAGCAGTTTGGTAAAACCATTAATCAGTCATTGACAAATCACCGTGACATGACGGTGGCACAGCTTTACCGGAAGAAGCAAGACATTTTCAAGCAAGAAAGGATATCTCAAACGTGCTGCACCAAGGCGGGAAGGACCTTGTGCGTTAAGCTATGGCATCGATTGGACATTGTAGCAAGTAGTCGCATTGCAAAAGACACTGTCCGTGACCAACATCCCATCTTGGAATAGAGCGAAGCAATTTTCGAATTTGGCAACAGTAGCATGAGCGACAGAGCCAGGCCGGAGGGCGTATACTTGAAACGTCATATCTGTGACAAGTCAAACTTGTCAGCTTCGCTGAAATTGTGGTTTGCCGGCCTCAGCCAGACCGGCTCAATCATTGTTGTGGCGGCGAGACCTCAAAGACGGTGCGATATCGCGAGACCATGACGAGCTCACGACAGACATCTCCCATCCGATGATGACCTCTCCACGCCGCCATGTCTTGGGGTGAGCTTTTAGGTATCGTAGGCACTTCTCAACGCTCTCTCGTGCCGTCAGTGCGTCAACCTTGAACCAATCGCGATGAACCCGGATGCCGACCAGACTGGTGTTCCCATGTTTGCACTTGATGCAACGGTAGAGCTTGCGGTGGCTGTGGAATTCACGGTGAACGTCCTCTTTGAGTTTGATCAATAGTTGTTCTTAAAGTTCGTTCTTCGAGGCCCAGAAGAGTACAATCCTGGGATTGCAAATTCTCGCCTCTTGGAGAGCAGCGGTGACGGTTCCGCTTGTGATGCATATCTTGATCAACCCTGTTTTTGGGTCCTTGAAGATGATGAATCGCCCTGGAGGCGGCAAGCGACAGCATTGTCATGTCTTCTTCATAAGGTTGTGTCGTTGATGGCGACATCTTGTGTTGATGAATGACGATTGGATGTGGTTCTTGACTGTGGGGCAACAAGTCGTGATAGTAGAGCGACGCTGTAAGTGTCGTTGCAAATTTCTCAAGGTGAGGGCATGCTTCTGCCGATCTGTGGTGTAGCGAAAGTGATGAATTTCAAGGCAGGTGACGAGTTCTCGTCTGTGAGATGTTTGACATTTCGCTAGATCAAGTTCATTGGGCCACAAGAAGAGGATCATCTGGCAGCTCACTTGTCGGAGCTCTTCGGCAGCCAGATCCAGCTTTGCGCAGCAGCTTCGAAGAAGTGAAACACAAGAGCCAAGGCGCTCACGATGTTGATGATAGTGGCGTCGGCACGGGAGGAAGCTACCTTGACGCCTTTCCACACGGGCTCTAGCATTGTGCAGAGATCAAACATGGTTGTAGGCTGTTGGAATTCTTCCTCCTTTGGTATCTTCGAGGCAAGGAAGCACTTGGGATTTCACAGTCCTCGTGCTGCCGCTTCTCCGCCAACATCGCCGGGCGTGGGCTCTTCAGGAGCAATGCAGACAGCAGTGGCATAATCACCGTCATGGCTGATGCTGATGTGGACGATCTGCCCATCCACATCAGTCTCGCTGGCGGTAACGTCGCTGGCGGCAACGTCTTCCGGGATAGCTTCGGTGGAATCTCCCTCATGCTCTGCAGGTATTTCAGACGATGTAGGTTTATCGAGGATCACCGCGTATGGCGCTCCAGTCCTGCCACCGTTGCCAGGAGCTACGCGAATTTCAATATCTTGCAATCGGAGAGCCCGGCCGGGAAAGGCTTTCATGACGGCTTCTTTGGCGGCGAATCTATTCTACACGTCAGTACTCCAGATCGAATCGCTCGAGGTTGATTGGTTGGCATGTGATACCTTCCAGAGAGATGTCGAGCCGCGGGACGGAGTTGGTTGTCAAATATCGCGATGATCGGGAACTTGCTTAGGAAATGATTTCGTTCCCATGGAGTGAAGATTCGTTGAATAAATTGGTTCAGCTTCTTGGGCGAATTTTCTTCGCCAGGGATTCCATCGCCGCTGAGAGTTCGAAGTCGTTCTTTAGCGCCGCCTTCACGGCCGATGAGGTCTCGAATTCGCTGGATTTGAACGATGTCTGTTCCAATGCGGAATGGAAGTATCGATGGTCTCAGAGGCATTGTAGCGATTTACTTCCCTCAATCACCTTTCTCTGTGCTTCTTGAAGAAGTACACTCTTGCTCGAGGTGAGATCAGGATATGATAGATGAGTATCACGATGTAGCTTCCTAGTGATAAACATGTTGGTTTGCTTCCCTTAATTGAGTTCAAACATGTGCGCTAAGCTACAATGGGTCGGTGTGTCAAACCGTTCCAAGGTCTCTGTAATATTGAATATTTACTACAGAGCAGTTCCTCGAACATTCAGAAAATTGTTCCATACAATGGTGCAGTCCTGCATTGATAGCCAGAGGTGGTCGTTTCAAATTCATTCTGAGAGAACCGACATATCAGGACTAGAGTACATCAACACACGTTGGAACACAAGACTGGCATGGCACGCACGGGTCGTGTTTCGCATAGAGGGCGAGGAATTGTCATCGTAGCGAACAAACCGGGCGGACGGTATCAGCAGATCGACAGCATGAGGCGGAAGTATTTCCACATTTGCAACCAGGATGAACGTGTGCACATGCGTGCTCTCAACAGTAGAGGGAGAGTAAGGTGTCCAGATTGTCGCAAAATATATTTACAGTCCATCCGGCGAGCGGTTCGTCGCTACGCGTCGGGATCCCTCATTCCACAGTTTCGACCATCTGCGTCCCAGTCATGATCTCCCGTCTTTTGGTTGTGCAAGTTTTCATCGTAGGAAATTGACATTTAGTGCTTCGCCGCCTTCTGTGCGCCTTCTGACTCCTTGAGGAAGTTTCTATTTGAAGCGGTAACCGTTAGTCTATGCGCAGATTCATGTTGGGGTAACATTGTGTTGTTTCCGACGTACTGAATGAAGTCCTCCTCGTTCTTGTCTTTCGCGTTGAACGGAGGGGTCTGGTGAATCAACGGCTTCTTGCTGCCGCCGGTCGCGAGGAAGACACCGCCGAAGATTGAACCGAGCACTCCCATGGCGAGCTATCATTGTGATTGTTAGTAATGTTGCCCATCAGCCGCGCTTCCAGGAATCCCCAATGGTCATCGTCGGAAAACCACTAGGGAGGTCCATCTGCGCGCGACATCGATAGTGGGTTTGAGCGTACGTAGTGCGAGCCAATTCGCTGGCCAAGAATATCGTAGTAGACGACCATGTTGCCGGTGATGCGGGATGTGTTGGTGGAGATGGTGGAGTTCTGGTGGTGTGCAGGTCAATCAGTCGTCAAATGCTTCTCCCAGCCGACAATGCTGGCTCGGCTTCGGGAGAGGTTAAAGCTTGGATCTTTGTTCACCCGCCACATCTCGCAGCCACACTCTGCATCAGCCACACCTCCGAGAGCTTCCAACTTTCGCCGATTTCCCGTAAAGACGTCACTGGCGCAGGAAAGCTTCACTTGTGCATCACTTCGTCGGCTCTGAATTATTATTGCGGTCTTCTTGGACTGACTTGCGCGAAGGAAATATACACAACAAAATCTCCACCACAGCCTAGATTTTTAATCATTGTTGCTAAACCTCATCATGGCGAAAAAGGACAATCAAAGCGACGCCGACAAAGATCCCAACCAACTCGGAACAATTCCTCGCGAACGCACGGAACCACGACCTGACTTCACCAAACCTCTCCCACGCGGAAAACTTCCTTCCGAGCTCCAACAAGCCTTCGACGACAACGACTCAGGACTATGGGAGACCATCTCCGAAGGCAAAGCCGGCGAAACAACCGAGTCTAACGTCCGTTATGCCGCCTACGCCGCCCGTCTCCGAACAATCATGCTCTCCGCGCACCGCTACGTCGCCTATACTAGTGATATCGGCGAGTCCTTCCGACCGGTCGCACACCCCAACTGGGTCCGCGCAGCATATGGAATCAGTTGGGCGTACCTGATTGGAGATGTGTCGCACGAGGGCTTCAAGGCATACAAGCAAAACCAGCGGATACTACACCCGGAGACGGACGAAGATCGACGAGAGTCGGAAGTGCACGGCAAGAAAATCCCCGCGATTGAGGATTTCCGCGCGGTCATGGCGCAGCGGGCCGTGTTTCAGAGTATTGCGTCGATGGGTCTGCCGGCGTTTACGATTCACAGTATCGTGCGGTATTCGGGGCAGGCGTTCAAGAATGTTAAGAATGTGAGATTACGGACTTGGGGTCCGATTGGTCTTGGACTGGCGGCTGTTCCGGCGCTGCCGTTCATGTTCGATCATCCCATCGAGACTGCGACGGAGTACGTCTTTCACAAGGCTTTTGAGACAATAGGAGGACCAGAAGCCGTGGGCAAGGTCGCTCATGGCCAAGGAGCAACCATCACGGATAAGCTGAAGGAGAAGGTGATCAAGGAGAAGGAGCTGTAGTACGGCCCTTCTGCTTGATCTTCCACTTCGAATTCAGAATGGCTGTTATAGATTTTGCCGGCATCTGTGTGTAACTTAGTAGATACCTCTCTCAATGAATTATTTCGTAATGTTAAATGCTGCAAACGAAACACTTTTGTATATGCCCATGCATCTGGGAGTTAGCGGGTCGTTTCATCAACCTTCGATATATCATCTATGGCTCCATTGCTAGTCGCATAGTGTAATGGCAGCTCATCGGACAGACGCAGCGTTGTCGGCGCAGATAGAAACAACTTTGACACAAAAATCAATCTAGACATTTTCCTAATAAGAGTGCTACAACTAAAGAGTATTGAGCTGTAACAAGTGCATCGTGATAGTGGTACCAGCCAGCATCGAGATTCGGTCTCATGGTTCAATCGACTTGTCAATTGGAAAAAAACACCCAACTCCATTTCCTCATTCATGTACCTTGCCTTGCATAGATCGGACTGAAGCAGACCTGCTGATGTAAAATAGCACCCGCCCAGATAGACCGGAAAACTGTGATCGAGATTCTTCCGTTAAACGCCCAAAACTCCTCTCATGTAGATCATTCTGTAGCTGATGAAAATTCACGGCTTCTTGACGCCGCTTGGAGCCGAGCGCATTCTGAACGCTTTATCTGTTTGTCGATCCACGTCAGTCATCCGCCTGATATTCTGCCATTCCGAAGAGATCCATGCTTACCCTGGTTCTTAACTCGGTATATCACCTCTACCACCACATCGATCTCGTTCACCGCCGCGCTGTTGAAATGTTTCCGTACCGCCAATGCGAGTTGGTCTTTCGGGACGCGCCGTTTATCTTTCTGTCGTGCCATCGTCGGGCTATGTCGGCCGATGCCGGGGTTGGTGAGCAATGCCTGCCGTCGGGGCGAGGTGAAGGCCGAGGGTGACGAGAGGTTATGGGCGGTTCGGTAGGTGTCTAGTAATGAGAGTGGCGCTGAGGACCAGGACATCTGTCACAATGCATCAGTATGAATGCCGACATACGATCGGTATTTGTGTGGGAGGACGTACTCCTGCTTCTTGTGCCAATGCTGCCGCTCCTGTAGCGCCTACGCCATTTGTGCCGTTCGTGTTGTCCTTGCTGTCTAATGATCCTCCATTCTGTAGAGTTGCCTGAGCCTGTGCCGCTGCAGCATTCTTTGCTTTCTTCGTCTGCGTCGTAGATGATTTCGCAGTGGAATTATTCTCGGCTCGCGAATCGTCCGTCGCCGCAGGAGGGCGGGCCTTTGCCGGTGGCATGGTGGTGGTGACCGGGGGGTGTAGATGTCTCTATTCTCTCTCAACTTGAGTGTGCGCGCGAGTCTATAATCAGAGGGGGTCGCATGAGATCTAACAATGACATCTCGAATGCGATGATCGATCGTGAGAGGGGTCAGCTACCATGGGATCTGCTTCACCGAGTAATAGTCCTGTCCAGTCGGGTGATCTGCGCAGTACACCTTCCCAAGTACTTTAGCCTCTCCTCCCCCAAATTGCACGCGACAAGCTCCTCTTTCTTACGCGCACAACGTCATCGCCAGGGTCGCGAAATTTAATCTCGCTGCGCTGGATCGGCCCGCCGGCGACAGGGCTGTGATGTCTTGTCGACCATACTTTCAATCAACCTCGCCCGATGACAGGATCAAATCAATTATTATCGAATGCTGGCGTAATCGAATACATTCATCGTTTGAGAGTACCTGCGAGAGCGGCAGCTACGTAGACGGACTGGCATGCAAGACAGCCCACAAGACAACTGGATCGGCAGTGAAGTCGATGCCTCGAAATGTAAACTCAGGGGCTCGAGACGAAGCAATGAAGACGTGTAGAAGAGTTCGGCTACAACAGCGGCATTCTTCCTAGGGAATGACAATAATATTTCCTCGCGAATACAAGCTACCAATGGCGCCCTCATGATTTGAAGATTGGGCTTGAGAGATCATTGTGCAAAAGACAATGTTGGCTGTAGCACGTTACGACTACAGGAGCCGCCCATAAAGCTAGTCACAATCCTAGGCCAAACGGAAACGCAGATTCTGCTTTAGAAGTGTAGGTCGAGGAAGTAAATGAAGTCATCAATTCCTTTTCATATGGAATCCGGAGGTCAATCTACGAGAGAAGCCATATGGAGTTTGCTCACGCACAGGTCGACGAATATGACGTCCACTACCAATGATGAGTCGTTCAAAAGTACATGTGGGAGAGGCTGCCTCGTTTCAGTGTTGAAGCACGTTCTGCAATCTGACCACGCGAACAGTAAATGAGGCCACGGCTGAGCAAGGTATCGACATTCACCAGCGTCCACTTGCGCAAAGGCGACACACAATGTTCGTCAGCATAGGTCATCGGAGCGCCAGTACAATCATATTCGAATACCCAAGCGGCTGAGAATGACAACATGGGTGAGGATAACCGAAGTTTGACGTCTGGTGGATTGTGATTTCCAGAATAGCGCAGTCTGGTCCCGAAGTGAGAAATTATTCGAATATTTTAATTCGAATATTATTCCACTACATGAGATATATATCAACAGCACAACTTCACACGAAATGCAGGTCTCGTTCTCGCTGCACTCTGCACGCATCACAAGTCCCAATTGTGAAGCATTTCCCCCTTTTACAGAGTTTCCACCTGAAGTGACCAGACCAAACATCACATTCACCTCGAGCAAACACCATCTACAAGCTCGTTGTCACATCATATCACATCGCAGTCATGGTTTGCATTGCGACCCGCCTTCTCCGTGTGGGCAACGCTAGCCCACAACACCACTGGTCGAGCAAGACCACAAACTCACAAACCGCCGGCCAAGTTCACACCAGCAATTCCGGCTCACATGCCACAACCTCCCACTCGGCGTCTTCGGACGTTTCCTTCCGCGTGGTCAAGAAACCTCACCAGGGGAACCACCACCACGCCCGTGAACAAGAAGGGTCTCCTCATCCCCGAGACCTCATCATCCAGTTCGTGCTCGCCCGCAAAGCGGAGAGCCTCTACATCCCCTGGGTGGACCTCTACACCGAGCACCCGGAACTCCTCGGCAAGCCGCGCTACGACCTGCCGGCATTCAAGTGCAGCGACCGCCCGATCTGGGCCGAACACATGACCTTCAAGCCGTCCACCGCCCTCCTCGTCAAATTCCACCCCGTCCCGCGCTGGACCCCTGCGGCCCCTGACCACCCCCTTTGCAAGGCAATGTCACCGGCCGCGTTGGAACACTTCCACGCCTGCTGCTACGAGGAGTATGTTCGCTCGTGCGCGAATTGGGAGGATGGCGCCCGTCAGGCGATCCGCAAGGCCACGGTGGGGATGCTCCTCGAGGCTTCGGAGGAGATTGAGGGCGACGAGTCGGAGTTTTGGCAATTCAACCTCGTGCCAAGGGCGGTGAGGTTTGCGCTCCCGGCGGCGAAGAAGGCGATGCTCACCAAGAAAGACAGGGGATATTGTGAGGTTGCTCCGATGTGTGTGAGCGAGAGTTGTGTTGTGCGTGTTGAGAAGTGGTTGGACAATGTGGTTGTCCCTGTTGGTGTTGGTGAGGCCTGGTGGCGTTGAGGATGGGTCACCATTATGACTTGACATGACAGATAGACTAGAACAAAAAATATTATGATTGATTGTTTCTCACTAGTGAAGCCCGTCTACACGTTATCCCGGTTCTCACTTTTGCAATTCTGAGCTGTGAAACTTATGTGTTCTGACCATCTCAACGACGTGAAGTCCTGCTTTGAGAGTGAGTGCTTTTGATCCTTGTCAGAGCAGTACGCCAGGCGTCCAGCTTTGGCAGAAAGATGGTCGCCCAGGTAGATATCTTGCTCCATGCTGCAAAACGTCAAACTTGTGAAAGATGATGAACCTGTATATTGATTGAGATTACACGATGGTATCCAGACACCCTCGCAATGCAACCCAGAATCGAATCGTCAGCCGCTTCTCAACGACGATGTATATATGGAAGCGGTAACAAAATGCGAATGTGCAACTCCTCAGCGCCCAATTTTCCCGCAATAATATTTAACGCCATGGCATACAAAGGCACGCCTCGCCGCACGCTGCCAGTCCCGTTTCCAGATGCGCCACGTCTCATCAGAGATACCTCCTCTTCCGTGTCCTGTTCGTAACCTGCCCTTTGCAGACCGTGTCCGCATCAATCGCTCCCTCAGAGCGTCATGCCCAATCTCCGCGGTCCGAAATACAGCAGTCCACCAACACCAGTGAACGCCAATCCGACCCACCACAGTCGCTCCGGGTTGATGCGGTGCACGATATCTTCATCGTGCCTGTCAGAGCTCCAGCTCAAAAGGATCGGTGGGACTTCGGGCGAAAGACCACGCTTGGCATTTGCGGCGGCGGTCGACGAAGCTGTGGACGCGGGGTGCAGAGTTGTCGTGGGTAGCATCTGCGGCGGCGAGTAGATCAGGTACATGGGAGGAAGTGGGCTTCCGTCGAATTTGTAGAGGTTGAGACGTGGTATATTGTGGTAAGGATCGATGAGGTATTCGTACCACTGCAAATCAAGTCATGTTAGTGTAATATTAAGACGGATAGTGTCTACTACAGCAATGCTGTCCATCCTCTTACCTTGAACAGCTCAGTCTGGTTGTATCGTGTGTAGATTCCGGTCTTGCCGTTGCAGGGCTCACTCATGAGTTGTCGTCCATCCACCGCAATAGGCGTAAGGGAGAGGCTGCCGTTCGCGTTTTGAATCCAGCTTCCGTGCTGCCACTGCATAATTCCCGATGGGCAAGCTGGATTTACAGGATTCGCAATCGCTCGGTAGTATGCGGTTTCGTAATGGCCGTCGCCTGTGAAGGAGTAGGAGATTCCCGTGTGTGCTGGTTCGATCATTTTGTCGTTTAGAGGATCATAGAAGCCCTGCAAAGACGCAGTCAGTTTGAGGAAAAGCTCAAGCCGTATGGTTCAAGTATGCGCACCGGTCCCGTGACTGTCGATTTCGACTTTGTTGACCATGTTCCGACAATGTTTGTAGGCCATGTTCCTTGCGCTGCGGAAAATGCGACGAGGCTCGCACCTGCGATCGCAAGTGTGTTGTGAAAGAACATATCGAGATCGTTGCGCCCTCGTCGTCAAATAGGTGTGTTCGCGTGCTGTATTGCGGTGGATTCAAAGTCGCGGATCGGGTTCAGGTGTTCGATAATTGTCTCTTCAATCGTGTAATGTTGGAATGAACAGTCGCTCCTTGGCCGTGAAGCGCGGGAGTCGTGACGCGGCAGTTAGAGAACCACACATTTTACATAATCTTCGCGACGCCACACCTATTTTAGGATGAGGCTCCCAGCAGCCACAATTGGAGATGCGATACGAAATCTGCTATCTTTGCAACAACCCGCAGCTTTATGTCTCCATAGAGATACGAGATCCAATGCCATTCATGCGCCAACGGTGATGCTGCATCGCGTCCTTCATCCGAGGTCACCGTCGCTATCAATAAATCACGTGCAAAAGCTCTCGTTCCATACCACAATGGCGACTGGGCAGGAACTCAAGGCTCAGCTTCGTGCAAAGATCAAAGGGAATCTTGCGCATGTAAGCGCGGCGTCAATCGAGTCTCAATCGATAGCAGCGCAAAATGTAATATTGTCCATGCCCGAATATACTCGCGCGAAGAGTGTTGGAATATATCTGTGCATGCCCACGTCCGAAGCTCAAACCTATGCGCTCATTCGTGATGCATTCAAGCAAGATAAAGCAGTCTTCGTGCCGTACATACATGCTGAAGTCAAGGCGGACGACATGGAATCTGCCGTACAAGTCGAACGCTCGAAGCCAGCCAAGAAGAGGAAGGTCATGTCAATGCTTCGACTAAATAGCCTTCATGAGTATGAGAATCTGAAGCCAGACAGCTGGAATATTCCAACTCTACCCAAGTCAGATCTGGAAACCCGAGAGAATGCAAATGGAGGGAAGGGCTTGCAGGGCGTTACAACAGGCGAAGCCACAGGAGATCTTGATCTCATTGTCATGCCAGGTGTTGCATTTGACCATCAAATGAACCGAATGGGCCACGGTGCAGGTTATTATGATAAGTTTCTAGCCAGCTTTTGCAAAGCGGAAACAAGACAAAAGCCTTTCTTAGGTAAGATCATGACATTTTCATTTCCCAAAAACATTGACATGAACTGACAATGCCCCCTTTCAGTTGGTCTCTGCCTGACTGAGCAAGTCCTTCCTTCAGAAGAAAGTCTCGTGATGCAGGATTGGGACTGGAAGGTCGATGCGGTAGCGGTAGGAGATGGTCGATTGCTAACAGCGGCATCGACATGAGCGAGAGGCTTTGAATCAACTCGTATAGATCAAATAACTCACACTATTGTGACATCCTCCCTTTCGACGGTCGACGTTGGACGTACTGTAGATTGCATACGATCGCATTGGTCCGCAGGCACAATCTTCGCGTAGGTTCCCTTATCCTTGAACTCCTCGGCGCCTTCATATCGTGCTTCATCAAATGCTCAGTCCCCAAAGGTGACTCCGTGCATTTCCAAGGCTCACGTTCATCGTTATCTTGAGTCCTTCTGATGACGCTGCGTGATTGTGGGTATCCTGTCTTGTCTCAATCCAGCGGCTGAATCAAAGAGACATTATCTCCTTTCAATAAGATTTGACCTGTGGATACACATTAGCACAAGCCTTTGTCGACAGAAAATGATACCACGATTCCACACTTACCGACACTTCTCCGCTCGCCGCCCTCGCTCGCATGTTCGCCTTTGCCGCTAGGCATTGTGACCTCCACGGCATCATCGATGACTAGGTTCATGAACTCATCAAACCCTCTGATCTTTCCCTCGATACGCATGTTGAGTTGTTCGTATAGCCAAATCTGAACGGTGCTGTGCTGTTGGAGTAGCTTGAAGATGAAGTTGATGGGCGGGAGTAGGACTTTGCGCCCACCACCTCCACCACCGTGACCACCGCGTCCAGACATGTTGCTGAGTATGTTTTGCTGATTTGTTTGTGTTGAATGCGATAGGAGCGCTTACTGCTCTGCTTGAATATACTTTTGCGTCGCGCAAATGCACGTTTCGCAAACTTGTGGTTTCGAATGCCTGAGGCCGACATCGAAACTGCCCACTAACCTCCGCTCGCCGCAGTGATGCAGCAGTCAACAACAGGTGGGGCAGCGACGGAATGTTTGACTGCGGCGGGACTTGTCTGTTTGTTCGTCATGCACTTTTTGACAACCAGCTTGCGAATTCTTTTCTATTTCTTGCACATGCATTTTTCGATACAGGCGGCACAGAGCACTGGTATTGCTTGACCGTACACACAAGACCATCACGTCCTTGCGAACCGTGATGACATTTCCTTGCGCAAATTAGCTTTGCAGAGAAAATACACCATTCAGTCACCACGCTGCCTACAGCAGCCCGCTCATTAAACGATCATGGCTACCACGGCTGCGATGAATGGCAACCAACAGGCCTTTGCGCCGGTCCTGGCAGCATTGGCAACCATGTCCAGCACCGGCAACCGAGATCAAAAGAGCCAGGCGCATACATACCTCGAGGGGTTCCAGAAATCACCCGAAGCGTGGACGTCGACTTTTGCGATTCTTCAATCATCAGATGCAACGGACGAGGCCAAGCTATTCGCGGCAACGACGTTGAAGGGAAAGGTAAGGTAAGGGTGGCAGCTGTGGAATCTTGGAAGACTTGGGCTCATGGGACATATCAGATAATCTTCGACCTCCACCAAATACCAAAGGAGGCGCTACCACAGCTCCGAGACAGCCTCCTCTCAGTCGTCGCCTTATATTCTGGCGGACCAAAACCTATCCGTACGCAACTAAGCGTCTGTCTAGCCAACCTTGCTATTCAGATGCTGGAATGGAAGAACGTACTGGAGACGATCATGGGCACGCTCGGGAGCAGCCCGGCAGGAATCACTTGTGTGTTGGAATTCCTGCACGTCTTGCCAGAAGAAGTTACCGAAGGTCGCAAAATCAATCTGTCCGAGGATGATTTGCGGGCGCGGACAACAGAGTTGCTCGAGAACAATGGGCCAACAGTGGTGCAATTACTGACCCAATACGCGCAATCTTCTCCAGAGGCCTTGAAGAATCCGCTGCTGATGGACTGCATCACATCATGGATCCGAGAAGTCCCCGTGTACGACATTGTCAACTCTCCGTTGCTAGATGTTGTAATGGCTGGCGTACAGAGCGACACTTCCTTCGACGCCGCTGTCGAGACTATGTGTGCCATGTTCAAGGAGACACGAGAAGCAGACGAGAACATCAACACGATCAAGATTTTGTTCCCGAAGCTTGCGACACTGCTTCCTCGAATCAAGGCATCTGCAGATGAGGAAGACTGGGAAACACTCAAAGGTGTCACACGAGTCTTTGCCGAAGCCGGTGAAGCATGGGTCGTCCTAGTGGTACGAGAACCGGCTCAGTTCCGCGCCTTGGTCGAATCCGTCCTGCAGTGCTGCCTTTACGATAAGGAGCGCGAAGCTCTTTCGCAAACCTTCAATTTCTGGTTCGAACTCAAACAGCTGATTACGCTCGACCGATACATGGAAGCACGGATACAGTATGTCGACGTCTTCTCGAAATTAGTCGACGTTCTCATTGGACATCTCCAATACCCAGTAAGCGAAACTGGAAATGAAGCCGATCTATTCGATGGCGACCGAGAAGCCGAGGACCGGTTCCGCGAATTCCGCCACGAATTGGGAGATGTACTCAAGGACTGCTGTGAAGTCATTGGAGTCACGGAATGCTTGAGAAAGAGCTACGATCTGATTGAAAAATGGGTCGCCGAATTTGGTCCGCAAGCAGGCAATGGCAATGTTCCCTCGTGGCAAAAGCTTGAAGCGCCCTTGTTCAGCATGCGGGCGATGGGTCGTCAAGTATCCAAGGACGAAAACATCATGCTGCCACAACTGATTCCTCTGATTGTCCAGATTCCCGACCAGGAGAAGGTCCGCTTCCAAGCGGTCATGGCCTTGGGACGTTACACTGAATGGACTGCTCAACATCCTGAGACCCTCCAAGATCAGTTCAACTTCATATTGGCGGCATTCCAACATCCATCCTCAGAAGTCGTCAAGGCTGCAGCGTTAAGTCTCCGATTCTTCTGTAATGATTGCGCAGATCTGCTCAAGGGATACATGCCGCAGCTGCAGCAATTTTACGAGGCAAATCTCGACGCCCTCCCGCACACCAGCAGAGAGGAAATCACAGAGGGTGTAGCGGCGGTAGTGGCAAGACAGCCACTGGAGACGCTCTACGATTCTATGAAGCTTTGCTGCGACCCCATCGCGAAGAGACTTGTAGCTATGGGTCAGAACGCCAGCGACAAGGAGCAGAAGATAGCGATTGCCGACTATGTCGGTCTCTTGACCATCTTCATCGAATACGTCACTCCGTATGTCGAGCCATCGAAGCCTCACCCTGCTGTGCAGTACTGTGCCGAAGTCTTCCCAATGTTGGCAGCATTGGCAGAGCGCTTCATCGACTTTGTGCCCATCGTGGAACGGACATGTCGATGCTGGCGCTACATGGTCCTCTCGTACCGCGTCCACGCTGCTCCACTTCTGCCACAACTGGCTGAGAAGCTCAGCGCCGGATTCACCGCAAGCCGACAGGGATGCTTCCTCTGGGCGACCGATAGTATCGTGCGAGAGTTCTCCGACGTATCAGACTACGTGTCCCGTGACACAACCGACAACATTTACATGTTCTACGAACAACAAGCCACCACCTTCCTCCGCGCATTGAACGACCTCCCCCCCGAAGATCTCCCCGACGTGATCGAAGACTTCTTCCGCCTCAGCACCGACGTCCTCCTCTACCACCCAAACAAGCTCCTCGCCAGCAATCTCATGGAGCCCGTCCTCTCCGCCGCCTCCACCTCCCTCACGCTCCTCAAAGTCGAACCGCTAATGGCGACCCTGCACTTTCTCCGCGACTTCCTCGCCTACGGCGGCGACGAAGCCCCCTCGCCCGCCTTCGACGCCACCGACGGCACCTACCAACTCCGCCCGAACCCGCCGCAGATCAAGCAGACCGTGCACGCGCACATCACGAGCCAAGGCGGCTCGCTCGTGCAACGCTGCATGACCGGCATGATGTACAGCTTCCCTCCCGACTGCATCCCGGACGCCTCCGGCGTGCTCCTGGCCCTGTTCGAGCTCGTGCCGCGCGACGTCGCCGTCTGGGTCGCGCAGACGGTCAACCTGCTCCCCGCGGGCAGCCTCGCCGCCGAGGAGAAGGACCTCCTCCTCCGTCGCGTCGGCGATCTGGTGGACAAGGGCGAGAACCGGAAAATCCGCACCCTGCTGCAGGACTTCACGGGCAGTTATCGGCGGAGGAACGTCGCGCCGAGGGAGGGCCTGGGTGGGTTGGAGGGGGGAAAGTTTAGGTTCAAGGGATGAGCGGGGTTTTTTCCTCGTTGCGAAAGAGGTGGGGGCGAAGGGGAGTGCTTTTAGATCGAGTTTTTGGGGGTGGGGGCTTTATCCGTCGTTGGTGCATCGAGAGGTGATATCCATGGCGATCGTGTGCGAAGGGAACGGAGCGGCGAGGTTCGGGGGGGGGGCTTTATCAGAACGGGCAGAGGGAACAGTTTAAACACGAGTGGTCGTCGTCGTCGTTCCGAGACGAACGGAAAGTATGAGAAGCGAGATAGACTGGACAATATATGACACCTGCGAACGATCCTTGTCGCTTTTGCGCGCCGTCCTAAGATGACGGAGACGTAGGCTACCCTCTCCCCCCTTTCTTTTCTCTTTTTGAAACGAACGAAAACATAAACAGTGCGGAAGACATTGTGGAAATCGCAGTAGGAATAAGGAAAGGGAGGCTCCTCGCGGGACACAAGACGACGACGACGACGACAATAACAACACGACAGGAGGCGACACAACACGACCTGACTTGACCCGGGCATCACATCTATCCCGACGGACCGGAAAAGGAAAGAAAAAAGGGAGAGAAAGAAAAAGAGAGCGTCATCGGGCGCGGAGATGAATCACACACCCACACACACCCACATATATATATATATATATATATATATATATATATATCATCATGATTGATGATGATAATGATGGACAGGGGAAGGAACTCCCCGATGAGATTTCGACGGAGAGCAGCGGAGCGAGTGAGGTATCGATGAGTCGTCGCGTGACGGGGGAAAAGGGAAAGGGGAGAGAAAGGAAAACGGGGGGATTCGGAATTTGGAATTGAGAGTTGAGAGTTGAGAGTTGAGAGTTGAGAATCGAGAATCGAGAGTTAAGAATCGAGAGTTGAATAGGGAGTGCGGTGCGGTTAGTAATGATGGTGATGGTGGTGATGATGAGTCTAGTGACGAGTAATTAAGGAAGTAGGTAGGCAAGTCAATGGTAAGTAGTATTCAAATCAATAAGTAAGGAAAACAAAGTAATAGTGCTAGTGATAGTAGTAATAGTAGTGATAACAAATAGTAGTAGTAGTAGTAGTAGTAGTAGTAGTAGTAGTAGTAGTAGTAGTAGTAGTAGTAGTAGTAGTAGTGGTGGTGGTGGTGGCTGTAGTAGTAGTAGTAGTAGTAGTAGTAGTAGTAGTAGTAGTAGTAGTAGTAGTAGTAGTAGTAGTAGTAGTAGTAGTAGGAGTAGAAGTAGGAGTAGTAGTAGTAATAGTAATATAATAGTGATAGTGATAATAATAGTAGTAGTAACGAGGTATTTATTTCTTCCCCAGCGAGGACGAGCGCACAGACAGACACACACGCGGAGCAACGCCGACATTCTCTCTCTCCACTGATGGCTTGCACGGAGCGGGACGATCGATGACAACAGCGGAGGGAGGGAGAGAGAGCATATTAAAAATAGGAGAGACAAAGAGAGGATCGGGGGACAGTGAGAGTGGGAGAGAGAAAAATAAAGTTTTATCCACGAAGATGGCTGTGAGACAGCGACAGACAGAGATCGAGCAACAACAACAACGATCGACAACACACGTTATCCATGAATCATGGCGATAACCACATCAACGACAGACAAGCATCTAATCGTCCTCCTCCTCTTCGGTGGCCTTCTGGGCGATGACGTAGCGGCTCTCGCCGTCGACGTCCTTCTCGTGCTTGAGGGCCAGCTTGCTGAGGTGGCCGATGATGTTCTCCATCTGGGTGTCGTGGAGGCTGCGGTTCTTGCGGCCGAGGTCGGCGAGGCCGGGGATCTGGTTGAGGAGGTAGTAGGTGATGGCGATGAAGATGATGACGCCGATGGAGTAGAGCCAGAGGACGACGACGGTGACGACGTCGGTGTGGCCGTTGGCGGTCTGCTGGAACTGCGACATCGGGGAGGGGAGGGGGTCCTGGAAGATGTCGGGGTTCAACCAGCCGAAGATGCAGAAGAGGGTGGCGAGGACGTCGACGCCGAAGATGGCGCCGACCAGCTGCCAGGAGGGGAGGGTCTTGGCTCCACGGGTGACGAAGATGAGCCAGTTCTCGGTGAGGGCGACTTCGAGGAAGAGGATCTCCTGGACGTTACCGAAGTTCTGGACGATACCGCCGTTCTCGAGGTAGAGGGTACCGCGGATGATCCAGGTGGCGACGGCGAGTTCGATACCGAGGATGATGGAGATGATCCAGATCTTGGGCAGTTGCCACTCGACGGGGCGGATCTCGGAGTGAGCGTTGTCGTAGGCGATAGCGACGGTGGCCAAATCGGCGAAAAGAGCGATGAAGACGATCAGGTTGGAGCTGATGGTCTCGTTGATGATGATCATGGAGGTGACGAGGTAGATCTCCAAGTGCAGGCAGAGGGCGATACGGTATTGGATGTAGGCCTTCATGCGCTGGAAGATCTGACGGGCGGTCTTGATGGCAAAGACGATAGTGGAGAGACCAGGGGCGAGGAAGACGATATCGGCGGCGGCCTGGGCGGCCTCGGAGGCACCCTCGACGGCGATACCACAGTCGGCCTTCTTGAGGGAAGGAGCGTCGTTGACACCGTCACCGGTCATGGCGGTCAAGTGACCACGCTGTTGCAACATCTCGACGACCTGGTACTTGTGCTCGGGGAAGACTTCGGCGAAACCGTCGGCGCGCTCGACGAGGTCGTGCTGGGTAGTGCCGGAGAGACCACCGTGGATGAGCTTCTGCGAGTTGTAGACCTTGGTACCGAGGGCGAGCATCTTGCAGGTCTCCTTGGCGATGGCGATGGCGTCACCGGTCAACATCTTAACCGGGACACCGAGCTGCTGGGCCTCAATGATGGTCTGGGCGGTATCCTCACGCGGCGGGTCGAACATGGAAAGCATACCGAGGAGAACCCACGGGTCGTCGTTCTTCTTGTAGGCGACACCGAGCGATCGGAAACCACGGCGGGCGAACTCGGAGGCCTTGTCACGGAAGAGGTCGGCGGTCTCCTTGGAGCAGTCGGTCAGGTTGAGGACGGCCTTGGGGGCACCCTTGGCGCAGGTGAAGGTGTCTCCGCGGAGGGTGCAGATGGTGGTGATGCGCTTGGAGACGGGGTCGAAGGGAGTGAACTTGACGGTCTTCCAGTCATCCTTGAGGATGTCACGGGCCTTGGGGTAACGCTTGAGGGTCAAGATGGTGACCTTGTCGATGGGGTCGAGGGACTTGATGTTGTGGGACGAGGCAAGGGCGGCGCAAGCCATCATCCAGTTGACATCCTCACCCTCAGCGACGTAGGGCTCACGGATAGAGAGCTGGTTGGCAGTGAGGGTTCCGGTCTTGTCAGAGCACAGGACGTCGACACCGGCGAGGGACTCGATGGCAGTGAGCTTCTGGACGATGGCCTGCTGCTTGGCGAGGTAGGCGGCACCGACGGCGAGGGTGGTGGTGGTGACGACCGGGAGACCGACGGGGACACCGATGATGAACAGGATCAACGCGTACTTGAGGAGGGTGTTGTCGGAGGCCTCGGGGGTAGCGATCTTGAGGTTACGGAAGAAACCACCGATCCAGGCGACGAGGATCCAGAACATGACGAGGACGAGGAGCGCCGTTCCGATGCTGTTCATGATGGCCTTGAAGTGACCCTGGTCCTTGGCACCCTGGACGAGAGTGGCAGTGCGACCGACGAAGGAGAACTTGGCGGAGGTCTGGACGACGGCGTAGGCCTTTCCGCGCTTGCAACCGGTGGTGTAGTAGACGATGTCACCCATGAACTTGTCGACGGCGAGGGATTCACCGGTGATGGCAGACTGGTCGGTGGCGACGATGGCGTGGCCCTGGTGGGCGATACCCTCACCTTCGTCATCCTCCTTGTCCTCAGAGCCGGCGGGGTCCTCCTCGGGGTCGAGCAGGTGCTGCTCGCGCAGCTCCTTGTAGCGCTCGAAGTCTTCGGGGGTGTCGTAGTCGCAGATCAGACGGGCGTCGGCGGGGACGGACTGACCCTCCTCGATGACGACGATGTCACCGGGGACGAGCTCACGAGCCTTGATATCCTGTTCCTGACCCTCACGGATGGCAGTGGCCTTCATGGCGATGTCACCCTTCAAGCTGGCGACGACATCGGCGGCCTGTTTCTCCTGGTACCAACCAACAGCGGCGTTGAGCAAAAGGATAGCGACGATGACACCGAAATCGATCCAGTCACGAAGACCGGCGGCGAGGAGGGCAGCAACTTCCATGACTGTAAAGGGATTAGCGTGGGTTCATCTCTCTCTCGGACAGCGGCGCGCGGCAGCAAGCTACTGCGTGGTGGTCTGGTAGGGTTCGGCCGCTGGAGAGCCAGCTGGAGCAAGCTGCATGCCAAGCTTTCTGCGGCCGTAGCTCGCCCAATAGCTCCAAAAGCTATGGCCTTCAGCTTTTGGAGCTATCGGGGTAATTTGGGGGGAAAAAAACAAAATAAGCCGATCTTGACGCCAGGCGTGGGAGATTGGCAGATTGGCTTTCCCCGAGCTATGCCGCAGCTCCCTCTCTTGGCTCTCTTTGTTGGGTGCATGTTTGCAGTAGCTGCTGCTTTGCGGAGGGAATGGATTCGCCACGTACCGTAGAGGACAGGACCAGTGAAGAACATGAGGAACTTGATGAACAAGTTCTCCTTCTCGGACATGATCTCGTTCCAGCCGAATCGCTTGCGGCGGGCTTCGACATCGGCGTTGGAGAGACCTTGCTTGATGTCGGCGTTCAACCACTCTGCGGGGACGGCGCCGGTCTCCTCGACGACGACGGCCTTCTTCTTCCAGAACTGTGGAGCGAAGTCATGTCAGCATTTGGTGTATCGCAATGAGCGATGAGATCGAATGTAGACGTACCTGCCATCCCTTGCGGGGCTTCTCGTCGTCCTTGTTGGCAGCATCCTCAAGAGCGGCGGCCTTGGGGTCCCGGTAAGTGGAAATGTATTTCTGAAGGGCAGTGTACTCGTCTGGAGAGAGGTATACAGTCAGTTTCGGATGATCTCGCGGTGTGCCGATAGCTCCAAAGAACTATGCGGAGCACGAGGATAGCTACGTACCGAGATCCTCGATGTTGCCGGGGGCTTGGGACCATTTCCTGGATCTGTAGAAAGCATGTCAGCGAAAATGTCTCAGATGTTGCGCTGGCTGGTGACGCGTAGGGCTGTCCGGGATCGGAGTTGTGTGGCGTTGTTGAAATTTCGCTGGCTCGTCGGCTTTTGCGAATGCAGATGGAGCGGACAGTCGCGCAGTCGCGGTGCAGGCTGGCTGTCGTCGGCCAGATCGCTGTCGTCGGTGGAGGGTAGTGATATCGAAGCTCTCGAGAGCTAGCAGAAGAGCTCGTTTTGTGATCTGCTCAGGTAGCAGGCAGGTTGTTGCGTTTGTAGTTGTTTGACTCGTGGTGATGGCGATGATCGTATCGACAGTCGTGTTGATGTTGTCGTCGTCGTTGGTCGTGCCAGTGGAGGTGGTGATCTGGTGGAGGAGGCACAAGAGGAGCAGCATCATCGTACCTATCTGCGGCACCGGTGCCGTGTTCGCCGTTCTCGAGGTCCTTCTCGGAGAAGCTGACGCGTGGAGCCGCCATCGTGAATAGCGATATCCAACTAAATGGTCGCCTGGTGATGGAGGGGGAGGTATACAATACGGAATAAAGGAGGGGAATGGACGACGACGCGATGCAGTTCGCTGAAGGAAAGAAAGTGGAAGACGGGAGGGAGGAGAGGCGAGCTTTATGAATGGAAGCCCCGGCCGAGCAGTGATGGGAGGAAGAGAGACAGAGAGAGAGAGAGAGAGAGTCGCGAAGGAAGCGTGTGTGTGTGTGAGAGAGAGTGGTGTGAGAGTGGTGTGGGTGTGTGGGTGTGAATCGGCGAGAAGTGTGAGTACGCGAAGCGACGGGTAGACCGACAGACAGACAGATAGACAGACGGGCAAGAGTGAGTCGCTCTCTCTCGCCCTTTCTCTCACTCACTCACGCACTCACTCACGACTCACAGTGAATCGTCGAGAAATGTGTGAGATTGCAGTGACGGCCTCGGGGAGAGGGTAGCGTGCAGAAACGACGCGGGATGGACCGAGACCACCATTCACCACCCCAATCCCAATGCAAATGCGACTTTCTGGCTGGACAACGGGCAATAACGGCGGGCGCGCGCAGAACGAGGCACAAGCCAAACAGGAAGAAAAACTAAAATAACAAAAAAGGTGGTGTGTGTGCGTGCGTGCGCCGGGCGTGGTGTGTGTGTGCCTGCGTGTGAGTGTCTGTGTGTCTGTGCGTGTGTCAATGTGTGTATCAATGTGAGTCGCCGACGATGGATAACGATGATGATGTCGCTGGTGATGAGCAGAGGCGCGTGCTCGTCCGTGGTGTTCATGCACGAAGGGAGAGAGAGAGAGAGGTAAGTCAAGTCCAAGTCGGTAGGTGTGGGTGTGGGTATGGGAGTGGGTGTGGGTGTGTGGGCGGCGAACGACGGGCGACGGGCGGAGGTGACTGTAACTGTTCGCTCATCAAACGCCAACGACAACAACGACAACGACAACAACAACGAAAAAGAAACATGGGCCAACACGATGGAGCGATTTGATCGTGCAGCAGCGCTCCATCCATCCAAGCCGTGGTGGTAATAATGGTGGTGGTGGTGGGCATGAGATAGCGTCTTCGGTGCAAAAAGGTATTAGGCTGGTCGGGACTCGGGTGTCCTTCTGGGCGAGCTGGCTGGCTGACTGTCTGCTGCTGCTGCTGCTGTCCATGTTGTGGATATATGGATGTGCATGTGGATGTGCATGTGCTTCTCTCGTGGATCTCCGTTTGTTCCATCATCCACCGCTGCAAGACTAAATGCGCTGCAGATGCCGAATACGTCGTAATCCCGCTAGCACTGCAACACGTCCATTGATGAGATGTCCCACTACGACAGCTGTGATGTCAAAGGGCGAGGACAGTTGCACGACACGCAGCAACGGTCCTCCGCCAGACCGTAGAGCACGATGCACTGTAATGATCGGCCACTGTGTAGTATCTCATCATCATCATCATCATCATCATCATCATCATCATCATCATCATCATCATCAATCATAACGCGTGAGATTCCACGAGGGACCGATGCTGGAGATTGCTCGCGCGGAATGGAATGACAGCCGGTAGCTTATTTCGTCGTAAATTGTCCTCCAGCTTCTCCACTCTCTACCTAAACCCATGATAATCAAACCCTGGCCGGCAGGGCCGAAGAGGAAAACCCTTCCCGGGAGAATTATTCCAATACCATACAGAGAGAGAGAGACAATTAAAAAATTAAAAAAAGCCGGTCAGCCAAGCAGGACAGTTTCTCGTCCAAGCATGCGCCCGCCCAGCGTCGCCCGGCGAATCTGCGCCCTCTGCATTGGCATTTGCAGTTGGGATGATCAAACCGACGATGGATGCTGATCATGATCATCTCAGATGTGGTCATTACAGGGAAAGCGCGCCGAGAGCCCTCCCACCCCCGTGGAGTGTCATCAGGCGCGCGCGCGGCGAAATAGGTAATCAACAGCCGACCGGGACAAGCCAGTCCAATTGAACCCATTCGCCTTGGCACTGTACCGGTTCTCAGCCAGACCAGGAGAGAGAGAGAGCTGGTGAGAACTGGAGAGAGAGCGAGAGAGGGCTTGGAGTTTCCTCTCCTGGGGAAGATTTCCAGCGATCCCACCTCATTAGGCTTTCCCCGATGTCTCTCTCGGCGAGTGAGAGGCGTGTTTATTACGATCCCGCGACTCACACTCGCCCTCTCACCGGGAAGAAGGCGAAATGGAAGAAGGAGAAGACGTCGAAGGCAGGGTTTCGGTTTTGGTTCTGTCTCTTCTTCGAGGGCAGGAAACCCTCAACAGGACCTGCGATGTAGCGATTCCCATCTCATCTTTCGGCGAGCGCGGGTAATTTTCTGCCCTAGGTAGTACATACGATAGTCACTCACACACACAACATGGAAGGGCTCACTCCCGCGTGTGTTCGATGTAATGTGAGATCGTGGCAGGGGCCCTACGAACTGCGAAACGGCGCAAGGTTCCCGACAACAGCATGACGGAAGATGTGTCCACGACGGTGATCACGATGGGTGCGCTCTCCAAGCAGCCGTTTGCTCCACCTTCTCCGTGTCTGCGACGGGACCTTCCCTGCCCGCATCATCATCAATGATCGCCCGGATGTCAAGACAGTCAAGCCCTTGGCCGTATGTAATGTAGCGGAGATCAATCTCGCGGCGGCGGCGCGCCCAGCATGGGAGAGACATCATAACCCATCGACCAAGATGCCGACGCGTGCGTTTCATCGTTGTATGAGAATCTCCCTTTCTTTATTTCTCTCTCCCTCTCTCTCTCCCGCAACCGCTATCTGGGATCCTCACAGAGAGGGAAATTGCTACACAGCGATGGTCCCTAGTAGACAGATAGACGAGTGGAGATTATCTTGTCCTGCGCCGAGGAAACAACGACGGCGGCGGGGGGCCCTTCGACGAGCCAAACGGGCGAAGAGATGGGAATGCTCGGCGGGCACCTCTGGGCGAAGAAACGTTAGACAAGGGAATTTGGCCTCGTTCCTGGGCGGGCGCGGGGCGCGCGTCGCACGAAGTTCTCCCCCGACGCTCGGCGCCCAGGACGGTTATTTGATGTGTGACGCCAGGGTCGGTAGGTGATGATTTACAAGATCCACCGGAATGATGGACACGCGAGAGAGACATGCCGTCGTGAGAACGCCGATGGACGTTTGGTCATCGTCGTCTGTCTGCCCGTCCGTTCGTTCGCCCCAGGTGGATTCGACATTGGCATGCGCGTGCGACGACTGGGAAATGCTCGGCATGCCCTGTGATAATCTAACACGAAATTCTGGAATGCCCGATACGACGAACAGTAGCGCGCGCAGGCGGGCAAAGGAGAGATTGGGCATGTTCCCGCACCTGTCCCGCTCTTCTTCCTCGACCGGATCTCGAAACCTCCCGGCCTAGTAGTCGTCAATGCAGGCGCGTTGTAATTTCGTCCCTCGCACGCGACCGCATCCTCGGTATGTAGAGAGAAAGAGAGAGAGAGCGAGGATCATTCCCTCATCACACTGTAACAAGGGCAAAGCCGGATAATCATTTCCACGCCGATTGGCGCGCCCGGCAGGAGACATCCTGCATGCTGGTTCCAACTGATGATGGACAGCCGCCGCGTGCAATCCCATGGCCATCACATCTGCCGAGGGAGGTACAGGTATGTCCTCATCATTCAATCCCTCTTCTCCACACTGTTGGCACGCAATCAAAACACCATCGTGAGAAACGGTCCACCATGCGTATGATGCATGCCACACACACACTACACACTACACACACACCACACACGTACCCCAGAAACGCGACGCAAACGCGCGATCGTGGAGGGAAGAAAGAAAGAAGAATAGACGTTTTCCGAAGATTGAGAAAGGAAACGGCTCACTTCAAAGTTCCCCAATCTTCTTCTGGTGCTGCTTCTTCACGAAATGTCTTTCCTTTCCCTCTCTCCATGATGATGATGGAGTCTTGCCCTAGCCATGGAGACATACATACGTACTGTACAATGGGTATCTCGGGACGTAGGACGGATTGCTCGGGAGCAGCGGCGGTTGCAAAGTATTGCCGCATACATATTGGCAGAACGATATCGAACCGGTTTGTCTTTTCTTCGAGATCGCCCACACCCGTCCATCTTGTTTCTCCTTCCCTCCCCAAATGGCCCCCGCCGGTTTGCGGGAAGAGGGACGTTTGGAACTTGTGCGAGGTACTACAATCTGCTGCTGATCTCTCTGGCATTGAGACAATTCATGTCATCCCGTTTGAAGCCTACCTGCCTGCCCGCCCGCCCGCGTCTCCGGATCCGCAATCGTCATCATGCCGACCGTGCAATGGCCAGGGAGTGTGTGTGTTTGTATGAGTAGAGAGAGAGGAGAGGCGAGGTGGAAATCCACACAATCCACAGGACACGGCTTCGCCCCCATAGAACCCGACTCGAGAGTTTCGCGCCATCTGGGGTCCCTGCAGTCGCCGAAAGCCCCGGTGTCCGAAGAAGAACAGAGCGCGCGCGCGAAAGAGAGAGAGAGAGAAAGGCAGTCGAAAGCGTCACCGAACTTCGGCGAAAGCAAAATAGCCATACCTGACCCAACGGAAAAGGCAAAGAGAGAGAGAAAGTCCGGCCGATTTTTGCCATTGGACCGAAAACTTCCGTAGCTCATTATCACCATACTGTATAGTCCATCATCATCAAACCATGTAAGACGAATGGGGACTCTGGGACCGTCGGGAAACAGCCTAACGAGCAGGCCCGATTGCGGTACCCTAGGTTCTCCCACGCCCCATCGCACAGTACTGCAGGTGGTATGTGTTCGTCCGCGAGCGGAGGGGCTAGAAAGATGCGTGTTCGGGTGTACCTTGGACTAATGACGATGGGACGAATAAAAAGGCCCCGGCTGCTACAACGACTACTGTCGAACTACTATCACGGCTACTACGGCTACGACCACCACAGTACGAACTGCGAAGTATTTCGTGGTAGCGGGATTCGGGAATGCGAGAGAACAGTCCAGCCCTATGCCCACCTATCAGCGCCGCCGCTCCGGGAATGAATTGCGAAC